CATATACATCATTACAATATCATACAAAATAGAGTCTATGTCCTTAAAGTGCCCTGTGCTCTACCTATTCATCCCTCCTCCATCCTCTAGATCCCCTGACAACCACTGATCCTTTCACTGTCTCTGTAATTTTGCTATTCTCACATGTCATATAGTTGGAATCATGCAGTATATAGCTTTTCAAAACTAGCTTCTGTCACTTAACAACATGCATTTAAGGTTCCTTCATATTTTTTCATGGTTTAATAACTCATTCCTTTTTTTTTGCTGAATAATAATTATATAGATGTATCACAATTTGTTTATAGAAAGACAACTTGGTTGCTCCCAGTTTTGGGTACTTAATAATGAGGCTGCTATAAACATTTATGTGCAGGTTTTTATGTTGACATGAGTTTTCATACCTAGAAGCATGCTTGTAACTTAGTAAGAAATGGCCAGACTGTATTCCAAAGTGGTTGTATTGTTGTTGTTATGTGCCGTGGAGTCGATTCCGACTCATAGCGACCCTGTACAGGATTTCCGAGGCTGTAAATCTTTACGGGAGCAGAAAGCCTCATCTTTCTCCCACGGAACAGCTGGTAGTTTCGAACTGCTGACCTTGCGGCTCACAGGCCGATTCGTAACCACTACACTACCAGAGTATAATTCTATACAATACAGAGTATAATTCTATACAAATAAGAGCTACATTGCTGTGCATACTTACCAACATTTGCTGTTGTCAGTGTTTTAAATTTTAGTCATCTTAACATGTGCATGAAGTCCTGGTGTCACGCTGTAGGATAAACACTATGCTGCTAACTGCAAGGTCGGTGATTCAAACCCACTAGCTGCTCCTCAGAAACCCTATACAGGGAAGTCCTGGTGTCACGCTGTAGGATAAACACTATGCTGCTAACTGCAAGGTCGGTGATTCAAACCCACTAGCTGCTCCTCAGAAACCCTATACAGGGTTGTTATGAGTCAGTACCTACTTAATGGCACGTTACAACAACAACAATAGGTGTATGTTGTTGTTGCTAAGTTCTTTTGAATTGATTGCAACCCATAGCGACCCTGTATGGAGTTTCCAAGGAGCAGCTGGTGAGCTTGAACTGCTGACCTTGCAGTTCAAATGGCTTTGCAGTCTGGTGCATTAACCCACAGTGCCACACCAGGACATCAATAGGTGTATAGTGCACATATAATTTTAATCATCAACCAAGCACTATTATAAGTTGTTGTTGTTGTTGTTGTTTTTGCCATCAAGTGGGTACTGACTCATAGCAACCCTATGCACAACAGAACGAAACACTGTCTGGTCCTGTGACAATCTCACAATTGTTGCTACATATGAGCCCATTGCTGCTTCCACTGTGCCAATTCATCTCATTGGGGGTCTTCCTCTTTCTCTAACCCTCCACTTTACCAAGCATGATATTCCTCTCCAGGGACTAATCTCTCCTGATAATATGTCTAATGTTTGGCCACCCTGGCTTCCAAGGAAGATTCTGGCTGCACTTCTTCCAACACAGATTGGTTTGTTCTTTTGGCAGTTATTGGTACTTTTAATATTCTCCTCCAACACCATAGCTCAATGCAACAATTCCTCTACTGTCTTCCTTATTTACTTTCACATGCTTATGAGTTTATTGAGAATATCACGGCTTGGGTCAGGTGCACCTTAGTCCTCAAGCTGACATCTTTGCTCTTCAACACTTTAAATAGGTCTTGTGCAGCAGATTTGTCTAATGCAATACTTCATTTGCTTTCTTGACTGCTACTTCCATGATTGTTGATGGCTGATCCAAGGAAAATGAAGTCTTTGACAACTTCAATCTTTTTTCCTTTATTGTGATGTTATTTAGTGGTCCAATGGAGAGTATTTTTGTTTTCTTTATGTTGAGGTGCAACCCATACCAAAGGCTGTGGGTTTTGATCTTCATCAGTAAGTGTTTTAAGTCCTCTTCGTTTTCAGCAAGCAAGGTTGTGTATTCTGCATATCGCAGGTTATTAATCCTGATGCCACGTTTTTCTACATATAGTACAGCTTCTTCGATTATTTGCTCAGCATACAGACTGAATAAGTATGGTGAAAGAATACAACCCTGGCACACACCTTTCCTAATTTTAAATCATTCAGTGTTCCCTTGTTCTGTTTAAACCTTGGCACACACCTTTCCTAATTTTAAACCATTCAGTGTTCCCTTAGTCTATATAAAGGTTCCTCATGAGTACAAGTATATGTTCAGGAATACTCATTCTCCATAATACTGTCCATAGCTTGTCATGATCCACACATAGTCAATAACACACAAGTAAACATCTTTCTGGTATTCCATGCTTTCAGTCAGGCAAGATCCATCTGACATCAGAAAAGATATCCCTTATTACACATCCTCTTCTGAATCCAGCTTGAACCTCTGGTAGTTCTCTGTAAATGTACTATTGCAGCCAATTACAAAATATCTTTAGCAAAACTGTACTTGTATGTGATATTAATTATATTGTCCAATGATTTCTGCATTCCTTTGGATTACCTCTGTTTGGAATGGGCACAAATCTGGACCTCTTCCAGTCAGTTGGCCAGGTAGCTGTCTACCAAATTTCTTGACATAAATGAGTGAGTGCCTCCAGTGCTGCATTAGTTTGTTGAAAGATTTCAATTCATATTCCATCAGTTCCCAGAGCCTTGCTCTTTGCCAATGCCTTCAATGCATCTCGAGCTTCTTCCATCAGGATCATTGACTATTGATCATATGCTACCTCTTGAAATGTTGAACATCCATAATTTCTTTCTGGTACAGTAATTTTGTGTATTCCTTCCATCTTCTCTTGATGCTTTCTACATCATTCAATATTTTGCCCATAGAATCCTTCAGCATTTCAAGTTGAGGCTTGACTTTTTTCTTCAGTTCTCTAAGCTTGAGGAATACTAACTGCGTTCTTCCCTTTTGGTTTTCTAACTCCAGGTCTTTGCACACTTTTTAAAATAATGTTTGGCTTTGTCTTCTTGAGCTGTCTTTTGAAATTTTTCTATTCAGCTCTTTCACTTCCTCATTTCTTTCATTTGCTTTAGTATCTCTACGTTGGACATCAAGTTTCAGTTGACTTACATATATTTAATCATGTAAACAACTCTATGAAGTAGTTACCATTATCCCATTTTACAGATGAGGAAACTGAGAAAGAGAAAGTAAGTCCCCCAAGTTCAAAAGCTATTCATAGCTGTCAGACACCATCTGCAGTAATTCAATTTTATCTAATACACATTTATTGAACACCTACACTATAATAGCTGACAGGTAGACAAAAATCACACATTTAAAGTAAGGATAAATCATAATGAACAGTGCCATGAGAGAACTGCTGAGGTGGAACAGACTTCCTTTCAGTTAGTTGGAAATAGAGAAAGTTTATTAAATAAAGGCCATGAATGGTGTGGGTATATCCATTTGGGTAATCTTGTTTGTATAAGGTGAAGTAAAAGAGACTGTTTTCGAGCATATAAAACTGGTACAGGAAGTTCCTGGATTATGAATGAGTTCTGTTCCTAAGTCTGTTTCTAGGTAAAATTTGTACATAAGTCTTAAGAGTTGGATACCATTTGTATCTAATATCAGTCTGTTTGTCTTGGTATATACTATTACTGTTAAGTGCCGTAGACTTGTTTCTGACTTATAGTCACCCTGTATAAGGTTTCCAAGGAACGACTGGTGAGTATGAACCACTGACTTTGTGGTTCAAACTGACCTTGCAGTCTAGTGCTATATCTGACAGTGCTACACCAGGGCTCCTAGTATATATTTTTGTTGTGGTTGTTGTTGTTAAGTGTTGTGGAGTTGGTTCTGACTCAAAACGATTTTACATAGGGTTTCCAAGGAGTGGCTGGTGAGCTTGAACCACTGACCTTGAGGGTTCAAATAGACCTTGCAGTCCAGCGCATTAACCGGCAACAACAACACACCAGAACTCCGTAAGAGTCTACTGATGGTGGTGGTTATGTGCTGTGAAGTCATTTCTGACTCATAGCCACCCTGTATAGGGTTTCTGAGGCAGTAAATCTTTACAGGAGCAGAAAGTCTCATCTTTCTCCCGCAGAACAGCTGGTAGTTTCAAACTGCTGACCTTGAGGTTAGCAGCCCGATTCCTTACCACTCCACTACCAGAGCTCCTTTAGAGTATACTAGGGGGCTTCAAAAAGTTTGTGGGGAAATTCCATTATTCCACAAACTTTGTGCAGCCCCTGGTATAGTGTACCTTTCTATGCATAAGAAGTCTTAAAGAAACACTTCCAGACACACTAAAACACCTTTAACATAATAAAACAGCAATAATAATAATGTTTTGATGTAGATCTCAAAGTAATGGCCATTTTTTGTTACAAACCTCCAATTTATAAGATCTTGGATGGGATTGATTCGTAACTAATAGGTCATTCCTAATTCATGGACTGCTTGTAATTCCTTTTTGAGTACAAAGATTACATTAGAAGGGGCAATCGATGCAGTATATTTCGCCTAAGATAAGGGTAAGAAGGAAATAAATATATGTAATTGTAGTTTGGAGCAAGAAAACAGAAAAATGACATTTGGGTAAACAAAGAAGGGTTAACAATTTGCTTTTCCTGTGCTCCCTCCCTCCTCTCTCCTCCCTCCCAACTCTCCCAGTCCTTTAGAGAATCAGTAACAACCTGCCCCTGGCACCACCTACCTACCTACCTAAATTCTCTGGACTGCAACTCAGACCCTTCTGATCAATGCTTTTAGACTACCTTCATATTCTAGCACCTCAAGCCTGAAACGTCCTTTTAGACTAATATGAGGAAGGAAAATGTGTTCTTGCAATTCAACACGGACTTGAATTCTATCAGAAAGCTTGTTCTGTCCATTTGTCATAAAATGACCTGGCCACACAGTCACAAAGCTCCTTCCCATCATGTTACCCTTTTAAGAGGCGGATCCCGCAGTGTCCTTTCCTCTCTCTAAGCCACCTCTACCCCCAGTCGGCTGGGCGGAGCTTCAAGCTAAAGCCCCAGAGCCGGTCTTGGCCGCTACAGATGCGAAGAGGACTGGAGCTGAGAAAAGCTGCATCTGCGGCAACATCCCTACAGAAGCTACGTGCCTCTCGGCTGCGACCCAGCTCGTGGTTCACGCCAGCCACTCCCCTCCCCCCCCTCACCTGGTGCTCACCTGGTGGAGGCCAGGGACCTGGCAAGCTCAAGGAGGGCGGGTGCTCTGGGCCCTTGGGAGCCGCGAAGTGTGAGCACCATGGGGCCGCCGCTCTCGACCCAGGTCTCCTACCGCGGTGCTTGTAGCGCTTCTCCGCTGCTGGCGTGGTGCTTCCTGCTGGCCCTGAGTTCGCACGCCCCCGGCTCCCGGGGGGCCGAGGCAGTGTGGACTGCTTACCTCAACGTGTCTTGGCGGGTTCCGCACACCGGAGTGAACCGCACCGTGTGGGAGCTGAGCGAAGAGGGCGTGTATGGACAAGACTCGCCTCTTGAGCCGGTGGCTGGGGTCCTGGTACCTCCCGACGGCCCCGGGGCACTCAACGCCTGCAACCCGCAGACGAATTTCACGGTGCCCACGGTCCCGGGGGACTGGGGAAGCACCGTTCAAGTGTCTTGGTTGGCCCTCATCCAGCGCGGCGGGGGCTGCACCTTTGCAGACAAAATCCATCTGGCTTACGAGAGAGGGGCGTCTGGAGCTGTCATCTTTAACTACCCAGGGACCCGCAATGAGGTCATCCCCATGTCTCACCCGGGTGAGTGCAGCTGCTAAATTGCACCCCTCCAAACCCCTGCCACAATCCGTTTCTCTTATTTTCCTCAGTGCCCTTCTCCACCATTCCCTTTGCTCCGAAGGAAAATGGGTGCCCTTTCCACCGTGTGGAGCAGGGTCTTCTTGTATCGCAATTTGGGTGGGAAAAAAACATTAGAATATTCTTTTCGGATGGAAAAAGAATAGAACAAACGAGGCGCTGACGCTGACAGATCGGAAAGAGGGAGAGTTTGAGCTCCGAGCGTCACCTTTCTCTGGCATTTCATATGAATGCCTTGTCTGTGTTTAAATGGTTGGTGGACATTGCCTTTGAAATGAATTGAGACACTGCCTGGAAAGCCCGTTCTCACTCTTTCCTACTAGACAATCTCAGGCTGTCAGCAGATTTTCCACTCCTCTGCTCCGTGTTCTCCCCTTGCTTCCTAGGTATCAGGTACAAAATTGTGTTACTGTGCCCTGTTAACCTCATTGCAGTTTTGGTGGAAACTTTGCTTAGCTCTTGAGCTCTTTTTTGCCTAGTGGTCTCAGGTACCAAGGGTTTGCTCTTATCAATGCTTTCATTTTCCTTTGAACAGTCTCATTTGGGTTATTGAGTTGCAAAACAGGTGATTACTGTGATTGAAAAAGAAGAGGTTTACTATGCATGAGGATAACAAAGGCCTAAACATGGGCGGTGGGGTGGGGGGAGTTGTCCTGATATTTCTTAAATTTATAGAGCTGTTCTGAGTTATTATTTTTCACCTTTAAGTTACCCTTCCAGAAATCTCCATCTTTTTGAGTAGGTATTTGTTTTATACATAGATATAGGATCTATAGAGATAAGACAATCTATATATGTGTGTAGCTATAGTTACTGTGAATAGATGTGTATGAGTGTGTATTA